CACGGTTGGGCGGGAACATGGGGGCGCTGCCGTGAGCACTGTTTCCCAGACCCCAGGCAGGCTGCCTGGAGTGCCAGGCCCTGGGCACAGAGGTCCAGGGAAGGGCCCGCCTGGAAAACGCTACGTGGGAACCAGGCCTGCCGAGAACAGTATGTGTCGACCAACGCCTCTCGGGTCCAACCTGCCATCAGGACACCCTGTTTTGGTGAACGGCTGCCGGCCGGTTGGGAGCCCGGTTTTAGACGTGTTTGTGTGGCAGGCGCACCTCCGCAGTGGGCAGTGGTGGTGCGGTCCGTCTGTCTCAGTTGACACACATGGGCAGCCCCTCTGTGGGCTCCTGGGGGTCCACACCCAGGGCCAGGGCCTGCCCCACAAGGAGGGCCCCTGCAGCCTCGGCCCCAGATCTTACTGGGGAGAAGGTGGGGTGCCCGGACAGGTACTAGGTCATTCCACACAGGCTTCTTCCTGCCAAGGGCACAGCTGGGGCATGTGCAGGGCTGGGGAGGGACGGGCAGAGGCCCTGGGACGGCCCCTCCTCCTGCACATCCATTGCTCGGGAGGCTGCTGACGCCCCACATGCCAACGTCCCTCTTGGACACCGGGCTGCCCAGGGGCACGAGCAGCCGTAGCCGGCAGTGGGCCCCCTGGTGGCAGCCTCACACACAGTGTCCCTTCAGGCTGCCCCGGAAGGCTTTCTGCGGCTTTTCTCTGCAGGGCTTGCTCCTCTCAGCCTGCGCACACAGGCACCGTCCAGCGGGTTCGGACATGGGTCAGACAGTTGTTCAGAAGGGAGCGGAGGCTTCCAGCTTCTGTTTGAGATGTAAAAAGCCGACAGAGCACCGAGCCCGTCACCGCCTCAGCCAGGCTTCTGGGTTGCCTCGGGTCGGCCCTGCAGAGAGCGAGGAAGGCCAGGGCCCCAAGGGGACACGCCTGAGCCTGGGCCGACTCGCTGGCCCACTGGTGAGGGCGGGGTAGCCAGGGAAGGGACACAGACCCACCGGGAGAGGGCACGGAGGACGCGCCCAGGCCCCTGGCCTCAGTCCCTGCGGGTCTTGCTGCCCGTCTGCCAGGGGGCAACAGCTGGCAGGGCAGTGCGGCCCCAGCTATCAGGCCCCTGTCTCAGGCAGGCGCTGGGCCCAGGCCCTGCTGTGCAGCTGTGGGAAGGCAGCCCCAGCCCCGCAGCCACTTCAGACTGCACAGGCCTGGGCCTGCCTTCCTCCCAAATGACATCTTTTCCCCTGACTTGTCTCGCATGAGAGAGACAGAGGAAGACTGAAGGGACGCCAGCCCGACACATGGTCCCCTCAGCCTTCCAGCCAGGCTCACGCTGCCTGCACCAGTTCGACCCAGGCTGGAACCCCCGATCTTCACTGATCCAGCACCGCTCAAGCAGGTCAGTAACCGCGCCGCCGGCCGGCCTCAGCTCTCGTCTGTTACGCTCTCGTAAGATACACATATGCAGAAAGCCAGCCACGGGGAAGGCTGGGGTGGGGGACACACTTGTTCCTGTTTCTTTTTTTTTTTTGAGAGATTTTTGCTCTAGGGCAAGTGCGCTCGCCAGAGAGACAGAGACAGAAAGTGAGAATTCTCCCCCCGAGGGATGACCACGCCACAAGCCCTTCTCCATTCTCCTCCCAGGATCTTGGGCATGCAGCCACACGTGCCTAGTGTGAGTTTGAAAACACCGGGTCTGGGACTCAAACTGCAGTCGGCCTTGTGGGAGCCCAGCGACGTAGCCACTACGCCCCCTGCTGGTCGTTGTTCTGCATTTTAAGCAAGAGCTGTCCCTGGTTGTGGCTCTCAGTGAAGACGTTCGTGTGTCGGGGCACTTCTATGCGGAACCTGCCTGGCCGAGGTGCAGGCATGCAGGCGTGCCTCGCAGGCTGGACTGCAGGCCCCATGACCCGCACCCTCGGCCCGCCTCCTCCCTCTCAGGACACCCGTCTCCTGGCCCCTCCCCAGCCGCACCCCCAGCCCTGGCCTACCTTGCTCCCGCTGCTGGTCCCTCTGCTCCATGGACACCAGGGCAGAGAAGTGAGCCTGGTCGTAGGCCAGGACCAGGGGCGAGCAGTGGCACCTGTTGGGAGGCACCTCCAGGGGCAGGTAGATTCCGCCGAAGGGGATGGGCGCGAATGCTGTGGACAGGAGGGTGGCGTGAGCCGTGGGGACTGGCTGCTCGTGGCCAGGGCGCCCTGCGCAGAGCCCTGCCTGGAACCAGAGCGGTGACCCAGGCCCGCGTGGGTAGCCTCTTTCTGGGTGTGCTGCTTCGTCTGTGAGCTCGAGAACGCTCCCCCCCCCACACGCCACATGCAACACGCCACATGCAACACGCAACGCTGCACGTGCCCTGCACACAGCCCGCATCTGCACCTCCCCAAGGGAGCCCACCAGGGAGCACGCGGACCGTGGTGAGGCCTCACACCCAGGCTTCCCGGGCCACCTGCCGTCCCCATGCCGGGCACTGGCCACCACAGAGGAGAACGCAGCGGCTCAGCAGGGGCGACTGAGACGAGTGGAGCCTTCTTTGTCCCCACAGCGCGATGCCCTGTGGCCCTTCGGGGGCTCGAGGTGAGGTCTAGCCACTCGTCCTCCACCCGGGAGGCTACGCCCTGTGGGCTGGCCATGGGGACTGCTCCGGAGGGCTCACCTTCTCCCCCTGAGTCTCTGAGCATGGTGTCTGCGACGACCACGATGGGCCGCCTCAGGATGTGGGCCAGGACGAACACGTGGAACTCCTCCAGGCTCTCGTACACCGGGTCCTCGGCACTGCCCACACTGCGGCGGCAGACGGCGCTTGTCACTGGCCGAGGAGGCCGCCGGCACGCAGGCACCTCGCCGCAGCTGCTCTTGCCCCCGGCCAGCCCTGCTGGCCCTCCGAGGCCCTCCCGCAGCCCGAGATCAGGTCCCAGCCCCAGGCTGGTGGTCTCGATCCCCTGGGGAACTCAGGGACAGAGGCAGCTGCTGTGTCTGTGCAGGCTGGGCCGGCCATCGGAGCCTGTGCCTCTTGCTGGTTACCAGGGCGCGGTGGGGGCCGAGGGCCAGGCACTGCCTGTCTGTCCACGTCCACAGAGCAGCTGAGGCCCAGGCCTCTTCCCGCAGGGATGCGGGCGCCCAACACGTCTGACCATAATGGTACCCGTTACTCCCAGGGTCTGAGCCTGCCCGACTGCAGGCCTCAGAGGGGAGGGAGTTATTTTAATGTGGTAGCCCAGTTCCGTAGCCCCTCTCGGCCCGGCTGGCCCCGAGGCCAGCAACCCCAGGCTGGGACATGGGTGAGGTCTGCCTTTGTGCCCCTCGACAGGCGTCCCTGGAAGTGGGGCACATGGAGAGCTGGGCTGGCCCTGAGTCCTGCCCTCCTGGCCCCGACCACCCGCACTCCTCCACCCTGCACACGCCTAATTGGGACCACTGTGGGGCCAGGAGCCCGTGGGCATGCCTGGCTGGCAGAGAAGTGCTTGGCTATCAGGAGGCTCCCCGAGGCTGTGGGCTCCCTGCACGTGCAAGAAACCCAGCCCAGAGCCCGAGCTTCGGGGCCTGCTTTGTGCCGGGTCCATGCGCCCTACTGTCTGTGCCCGCTCCACACGAAGCCAGAGGATGGATCGGGACCGTGTGGGGCGCTCACACCTGGCGACGCAACACCGCGAGACTGTGGGCTGTCCCTCCACCTTCCTCGCACTTTGTTTGGAATCCAGCGTCGAGGCTGGGGTTCCTTGCACTGCCCCACACTGTCCTGCCCGCCGGTTCTCGGAGCACCCCAACTTCTGGGAGGCACTTACCCGCCGCCCGATCCGCCGTTCTTGCCAATGTGCGTGCGTGGCTCGCTGGAGGCCAGCTTCAGCAGCTCCGTCCACTCGCGCTCCCACTCATCCTCTGTGTACACCAGCCCCGACTGCACCGAGGGAGGTGGCTCAGGGTGCTGGCCATTCCCTGCTCCTCGGCTCCCTCCCCGGTGGGGACCCAGGCTGGGCATGCCGCTGGTGGCCAGGGACGCCCACTCTGGCACGGACAATGTACTCAGAACCCCTGTCTCCAGGCTCAGGGCTCTGCGGTCCACCCACTAGGAAGGACCTTGCTGGGGGGACACTGAGCAGGCCCCCGGGCAGGCCGAGCTCGGGGGCCTGGGGAGGGCACCTGCAGCAGAAGGGGCACTCCGGCCGAGCATGCACAGGTGCACTGCAGTGGCGACTGGGACTCCGGACTGCACAGGGGTAGGGATGGGCCTGCACCTGACAGTGGGCCACCCGGGGTCAGCCTGTGACCAGGACAGTGTGGAGTGGCAGAAGCCGCCCTGCTGTTCCATCCGCACAGCTGTGCCCGGAGCTGTGACTGCGGGCTTTTGAC